AGAAGAAACAGAATGTAAATTGAAGTGGTAGAAAAGAAGTTAAAGGAAAAAATCAGTCAGGATGTATAGTTTCAATAAATGCGTAAGATTTTGCAAAATGGAGCATTAAATCTAAATATAGAAAGGGAAGAAAGAAAGATGGAGAGAAATATAGAAAGAGCAAAATAAAGAAAATGAATGTAAGAAAGAAAAAGAAAAGTATAATAATCGAAAGGAAGAAAGAAAAAAAAAGAAATAATGAAATCTAGAAAGAAAGCTAAAAAGAAATCAAGAGCAACACGATTTAATTGATTTTTTTTTCTACGGCTTATCAGCCTTTTGCAAGTTATTTAAAGCCCAAAGCTATTATTCAGTTGTAAGACTGTTAATCTGTGGTAATAATGGTTTAGTGATATACGTGTTACTAATTAACCTAAATCTGCGGTAAGAAATGTTTGATTCATAAGTTTCCCCAGGGAATTTGCGCTTATAAAATTCTGAGCCATTATCCATTACACCACCCTCACATCCAGGCTTACATCATCTGATATACCTAAACGGCCACACATCTAGATTCTAATCAGGCGTTGCTTAACTTTGCTGATCATAGGGGGACCGATGTTTCAAATTGATGAGACCGTAAGCCAAAAGGAGAAAAATACAAGGAAAAGAAATGTTAAAAATATGGAACGTTTTCGAAAATGCAGACCCAAAATATTCTCAATCCTCGCAGACTAAAGTTTTCAGTGGTGCAATTCTTCCCAAAGAGAACATTAGGTTTTTATATAAAATTCTGAACCCGACCTGCATCGAACTTGCCATTGTGTATATGTCAGTAACATTTGAGTTGACTCAACATCATTAAGACACAATGGTCAATGAATTCCTTTTTGTTTGCCTCTCTCTCGCTCGCTCTCACTGTTTTTTCCCCTCCATCCCTATGTCTCGCATTGCCGCACACACACAGGTACAAAGGAATATATCGTCACACAGATAAAGGCGCACACATATACATATAAACACACGCATTAATACCAAATCGACTGTATACCTTTAAATGTTTCAGTGTCCTTTGTATCCGATGTAGATAGAAGTAACATAATAGAGAAAGTCTTATTATTCTCCTAAAAGAAGATTACTAGGAATGACTGGAAAAATATATCGGCAATATGCTAGTTGAAATTTCCCAGAGATAAAGAGATGTGTGAAATGGATAGTGGCCCTAATTGTTAAAAAGCGTTTTCAGATTAAAACCCATCAATATGTTATGATAATTATTTACATAGGGCGTTGCCTGTTTCCTCGATTAAAAGAAAAAAACAACAACAAAACCCCGTAAAGGTAAGTGAAAATATTCGGTGGAAAAATAATGATTTCACCCATGAGACTGTCGAATAAAAAGGAATATAATCTTTAACAGTGAATAACAGTTCTGCAGAATACTTAATTAGAGTTTTAAACCAGGAAGCCTGCGATAGATCAGAATTTACACATGAGTACACATGTATAAAATAAATACAATATCTAAGGATTTTTAAAGATATATACTATAATTATTCATTTACCAAATGTTATCGATATAGGTTTCTTGTGCATGTGGCAAGGTCGCTTCGAAGCTAAATCGTTGATCGTGAATTTGTTCGAACACGAATAAGAATAGTTCAGATTTTTGTGGCCGAATTTAGTGAAATCAACAAATATCAATAGAAATCAATTTTGGAAAACGCACCCATATTATACAGGTTGGTCTAAATGTGACTTTATTATCCTATCATTTAGAAACATAAATATAATTTACCGTAATTGCCTATGCATAATAGTTATTATTTTGGATGAAGGTGTTTTTACATGAGGAATTACGGTAATATATATATCTATATTTGGAGAAACAATGTGTAAAAGAATAACGTAAAGGAAAACTATAATGAGCCAATGTTGTACAAATGTAATAGTGTTGGAATACTTCAGTATACACGGAACTGGGAATATATTGAGTGTGGAAGGATTTCTAAAGCAAGGAGAATATGATATCTTGAAAGAAAAACTGCATAGTTTTGGCCAACACAAGGAATGTTAAAAGATTCATGTTAAAAAGATAAAAAAAACAAATGAAAACTACAGACAAAAGTTCATTTTCTCCAGCAAGACATTCATTTCTGTAGTTTACTGCTACCAGCAAGCAGAAATATTTCTTCTCCCGATGATGGCAATTTTGGCTGAAACTAGTCGAGGAATCTAAATGAAATAATAATAAAAAAAACAAAACAAAAAAAACGAAAGAATATTAATCTACAATCCAGTGTGTCTGAATATTTTAATTTTTTAATATTTTTTATTGTTCAAAATATATTTTATATATATATATATATATATATATATATATATATAGAGAGAGAGAGAGAGAGAGAGAGAGAGAGAGATAGATAGATAGATATAGATATATATGTAAGTTAGCGGCTCGGACTGCGGGCTCGGGTTGAGGGATCGGACGGAGGGTTCAGACAGCCAAGTTCGAATTCCAGTCAAATCCATTACATTCACTTACGTGCTAATACCCTTGGGAAAATTATAAATCCTCTTTTTCTCCCCCAGATACGGGTAACTATCAGACAGACTGGATTGGATGGCAACTGGTTTAGGAGAAGGACAACTCGAAATTCCCAATTTTCAGGACATTGTAGCACGTAGTCACCAGGTCTCTGAAAAAGAGTAGTTGGTTCTGCACAAAGCCTTCACCATTATAATTAAATCATATGATTTGGTGTCTTGCTGTCAGATCTCAAGTAACTAAGTATCGAATCAGACGAGAGGATCCAGTATATATATATATATATATATATATATATATATATATATATATATATATATATTGTACTAGTAATTATACTCTGTTGTGGAAAACAGTATGAGATAATTAGTGAAAAAAAAGAGAAGATTTGTAAAGAACCGAACATGGCGAAAAATTTCCCAAAGAAATAAACAATGGAGTAAATAATTTGAAACGTAACATCCTCAATACGCTAAGTAGAGAAAACAAATAAAAAAAAATCCTAAAGAGCCAGGAAATACCTAGGTAGGTTTCGCCCAAATAAGTATAGAGGGTGAACTGAAAATCAATTTAGATGAAACCTAGGTGGTTATTTCCTGACTCTTTAGCAATTATATATATATATATATATATATATATATATATATATATATATATATATATATATATATATATATATGGCCAAAAAAAATTATGGAGCACCTATAAAATTTGAGATAATAGTTTAAACCTACGTATTTCAAGATTAAGGATCGTACAGTGAACAATTGAGAGCAAATGTAAAATATTTAACAGTAGATTGTAGTATTTTTTTTTTTTTGCTTTAAAGCCTCTCTCAAGAGCTTTAACTGAGTTTCGTAATAAATTCATTCCAATATTCAAAATGATTTATTGTCATACTAAAGGTTGTTTCGTAATTTTCGGGTAATATTTGATTCCTACCAGTGTATATTTAATTGAAAATGCCTCCAAAGAAGCAGCTTTCAGAGATTAAAAGGGCAAAAATTGTTGCTTTATCTGGTGAAGGATGTTCTCAGGTAGAAATTGCCAGGAAGATGGAATTTTCAATGAAGGGGGTTCAAACAATGATTAAAAGGTACAAGGAAACAAATTCTTTCAAAAAAAGAAAAGGACAAGGCCGTAAAATGTCTACAACGGCCAGGGAAGACAGATCTTTGAAAAGAGCATCCCTTGCAGATAGGAGGAAAAGTTCTTCAGAGATTGCTGCTGAACTTAGGGAGGATGAAAACAAAAGTATACCAGCTCGAACAGTGAGAAGGTTATTAGAAGTGGGATTAAAAGGATGCAAAGCCAGGAAGAAGCCATACTTGTCTCAGGCCAACAAGAAAAAAACGACTGGAATTTGCAAAAAAACATGAAAAATGGACACCTGATGATTGGGGCAAAATTGTTTGTTCTGACGAAAGTAACTTTGAGGTAAGTTAACAGCTTCTATCTTCTAAACTTTGGATGTAATAATTGAAATTTTTATGTGAATACACATCCATAACATTTATTAAAAAAATGTAACAATTTCTTTTTTTTTCATCAGATTTTTGGCACCCCTGGAGCGGTTTATGTTCGCCGTAGGGAAGGAGAGGCATTTCATCCTGATTGTGTGGTTCCAACTGTAAAATTTGGAGGAGGAAGCGTAATGGTTTAGGGCTGCATGGCTTCTTCAGGCACTGGAATGTTGTACACATGTGAGGACAGAATGAACTCCACAATTTATACTAACATGCTGGACCAGGTTTACCGAACCTCTTTGACTAAAATATTTAATAATAACATTCCAAGTGATGTAATTTTCCAACAAGATAATGCTCCATGCCATACGTCAAAAGTTTCAATCGGTTGGTTTGAGAAAAAAGGGATTACAGTGATGAAGTGCCCCCTTCAATCCTCAGACCTAAATCCCATTGAAACTTTGTGGTCCATTTTAGGGAAAAGAGTGAGAATGCACAAATGTTCATCAAAAAAAGAATTAGAGGCCAAACTTCATAAAGACTGGCAGAAAACAGATCCTACCACCTGCAACAACTTAGTCAATGATATGCAAAAACGAATAAAAGCTGTTATAAAGGCAAAAGGAGGACATACCAAATATTGATTGTTGTTATTAATGTTTACTCCACTATTCTTAACCTTTAAATATATAAGTTTGAATCATAATTTCGATTCTTCATTGGTGCTCCATAATTTTGGCCAAGGCTGTATATATATATATATATATATATATATATATATATATATATATATATATATATCCTAAACCCAGAAAGACATTAGTCATCACTAGTACTAGGAATGTTAACATAACCTACAAGGCAATCGGTTATATAATTCGGCAAAAAAATTAAATCTAACACCGATTCAAATGCATGGATTTATAAAATAAATCATTTAAAATACAAGAATATTTGCCGAAAATCCCGCATCTACGAACACAAGAGAGACTTGCGTTTAGACAAACGATCTAACTCCGCGTTTTATATCGAAACGATGCTAGATATAATTTTCATTTTACTAATGCCACACGAATTTAATAAAAAATGGAACATAATTCTTCAAGAAGATAATACTTTGAAAACTTAATGATAACATTATTGCCAACAATAAACACTCGCCTAGAACATTACATTGCATCGTCGTCATCCTTCTTAGAATCAATTCTTAAAAATTCTGACTAATATAAAGAGTACGTCTATAAAAAAAAAAAGAACATTAGATTAAAGTGGAATGACACCTCTCTGCGTCGGCTGACCACACAATTGTGATGACATTAGAACCTCTCCTACTAGACATATACACATACACAATTACGAATAAGCATTACAATTCGACATTCCCGCATAGACATACAAGAATCTTTGCATACTTATATTCTTATAGAATACGGTTTTAATCCACATGCTACGTGACTGACTAATGAGAGTTAGCCCCCCCAAAAAAATTTTAAATACCAATGTCCTGTCATTTTGGCTGTATTCTCTCAATCTGTGAAGAAGCTTTAATAAAATCGAAATGTTAGATTGATAAGTTTGCTGTTTGTACTTTATCTTCTCATATGTAATCATATAAGTATGTTTTTGCGTGTTTGCAAGCAAACGTTGTTGATTGTAAATGCATTCACCATCAATATTCACTTATCATAGCATTTTGATCTTCAACAATTAAATGCAATTTCCCTACATATCTTCTGTCTTCTTGATATTTTTTTTGTGATTTTCTCTCCTTAAAAATACTTTTTTTTCATCATATTCAATTTAATTCCGCCTTTTCTTGTGTCTTCGTGGCTTTTTTGCCTTGATTTTGGCGAAATAATTAAAAATATCTTTAAAACTAAGTACTAAACATATTAGAATAAGGAATTTGTTCGCAAACATGTATTTGACATGAAAATTAGAAATTCATTTTGAAGTAAGAATGAAAATTCTGGGCAACACTTTCTTTAACTAGCGTGCACTCCTCATTACTTTCTGTCTCTGAAAGTTTTTTTCTGGTTCATTTTTATCCATTTTGTACACCGACTTCAATTTCAGCAGCGAATGAAAAATGTTGACCTTTCAACGATTCTTTCACATTCGGGAACAACCAGAAATATGAGGTGCCAAATATGGACCGTAGAAAAGGTGTGAGGGAATTGCGAATTTCGGTCTTGTCACCGTTTTGCGGTGTTCGTTGACCGCAATGCGGCACTGCGTTGATACCAAAATGTTCCTTCACGCGTTATTCTGCGGATGCGTTGCTTATGCTCTCAAATAGCACAACGAAGTTATCTCCATTCCATATGGTAGCAATTTCGTATAGATGTCGCTTTTTAAGCAATTCCAGTTTAATACACAAGACTTAAGAGCCCGATTACTAAGTTCCATTCTAGTGACAGAAACATGTTCCAAGATGAATACTACTTTCGACAAGACACATTCACAAACTTTAAAATAAAAACGGAAAAGAAAGGGAAAAAGAAAAAAATATATATATACATGTATTGTCAAATGACCGGATGTATTTTAGCGTCTTATAATTATTAGTTAGTATAAATTATTTTTAATATTACACGTATTTAAAGATCTGAATAGCTATTATATCAGGATTTCGTTGTCAAGCTTTTGAATCTTTCTATACTTCGTTTTTGATTGGTTATTCTAGCTTTTGTAACAATGTTTCCCTCTAGTGTAGGATCGTTAATTAATCTGAAACTTTTAAAACCATTTATTTTATTTTCAACATCATCACTTGATAAGACACAGAGTGTGTTGAAACAAAATGGCTATTTTTGTAGTGATTTTATAACATACTTATGTTATAATTTTTTATAAAAAATAATTATATCTGCTCTACTTTGTATTGAGCACTCTTTTAAGAATAGTAATTGTTGGTTATTGGAATTCATTCCGTATATACCAATTATATACTTTGATATATATATATATATATATACATATATATATATGTGTGTGTGTGTGTGTGTGTGTGTGTGTGTGTGCGTGTGTGTGTGTGTAGTGATTTGAACGAGAAGGAACTAAGTGTGTATTTTGATCGATTGATCAAAGCATAGCTAGGATAATGTAGTAAAGAAAAAGGCTCTATTCTCCATATCGATACAAACCATCTTAAATGCCTAAATAGTTACGATTTTTGTGTTTTGCGGCATACCAGCTTCCTGCTCATCATCTTCGAATTCACTCCACTGAAGAATGAAACATCTACCAGAAAATCTATCTTAACTGAGGAATTTCGAACATATTCTAAATTTAGGATGCGAACTCTACACCGATTATTCGTATCGATATTGGTTTGCAGATTGACTCCAACCGAGTAGCTAGCTTAAAACTAACTATAATCAATTGATTCGCTTTATATTAAATTTACTTCTATTTTCATGTTTGTGAGCCTAACACATTGCAGATAAGATTGTTTATAGTTTCTTCCTTTTCGAAGTTCATTTATTATGCATTATATGAGTCATTCCAAGACAACTATCTCTAAATAATCGCTTGGGATATAATGTTGGCTTTTCAAATATCCAGTGTTCTCTTTAAATTCAGAAATATGCTTTGAATTAGATAATCTTTAACGTCAACTTCTAGTAGTTTCAAAGTCTGTTGCATTTTTAAGAGGAACATTCTCAGTATTCTCGTACCTAATTCAATTTTAAATGACATTTTTAATTCAATTTGTTTTAATTTTATTGTAATATATATTTTGGTTAAACAGTCATCTGATGTATGCTCTAACACCCATAGTGCAATTTTCGACATTGTACTCTCTCTATTATTTGCATCATACAGATATATGAATAAAATTGTATGACTATCAAGAAATAAGAGTTTATCTGTGGTGACCTCAATCTATACACAGTACACGATTAGAAATACAAACTGGTGTTATGTACTCGGTGTCACATCAGAATATTATATTTTTGCCCAGACTGTTGACATAGAAGATTTTATTATTGTAAAAATTACAAGCTTCTTCTTCTCCGCTCATGGCAGAATGTGAAACTGGCACAACAGAAGAATCTCTAGAACTGTGTCTTTTAATGTCCCCACCAAACCCAAAACCTATGAATACTACAAAAACCTCAATGAAAATTTCAACAAATTCATTGTAATTTATGTTCAACGAAATATGTTTGAAAGAGTACTGTCTGTGCTTATATATATATATATATATATATATATATATATATATATATATATATATATATATATATATATGAAATAATAATCTTTGACATAAACCTCTGCTAGTCACAAACACATAAATGTTTAAGCGGACAATTCCCTATATTCTCAAACCGAGGTGATGAATCATTTAATTCAAATTTGCTAATTTTATCAGAATATATTTATTATATTTCACTTACACATTCATTGTCAATTCATCTATGATTTATGCTGTAAAACCCATATTTCCATAGTTCGACAGTGTTCTATCTAAATTATTTGACTCAACCAGAATTATGAATAAAATTCAATGTATATCAAGAAATAGGAGTTGTTATGTAGTGACGTCAATCTGTACAGGACTCACAATAAGAAATACCAATTTCACTTTTATATTCGGGTTTACCTCAGAATATTAAGTTGCTTCGTCGACTTCCAAATGATCTTTTGGCAACCTAATGTAAAAAAGTTCACTCATTCATCTTCTCAGCCGATGGCTCAAGACTCAACTGACACGACAATATTGACAATATCTGTGTCTTTTCATCAGGGGATGGACCCACATGTGTTGACTTGGCTTGCTGGGAGATGTGTCATTTTATCGCGGCACACTCTTTAGAATTATCTGCCAGAAAAAAGAATAGGGAACACAGTCGGTTCTGCTATTTAAACATAGTCTTGGGTATGATGATAAACTACATCCGGCAGCAAGGTCTCTCATCAGAAGATTGGAGGGTGTGAGAAGAGCGGAACCTCCTCTTAATTGATGCTTCTACCAGGCCCATCCTGACCTGGGGTGGTAGCACAGGTCTCAGCTATGGCAAATAATGACCCCTTCTGACAAAACACTATGAAAGTATAAAAACACAATTTATAGTAAAAAAAATATCAGTAATAATTCTTCTATATAAAAAATTATCAAAAATACACATTTATAGTAAAATTACCAGCAATACATTTTGAAGCAAATTGGCCATAAATGCATTTTATCATAGAATTTTCAAAGATACATTTTATAGCAAAATGAACAACAACACAATCTATAGCAAAATGACCCTCAACGCATTCTATTTGTAGTTAAATACATCGAGTTGATTTCAAAATACAAATAGTAGTATTCAAAATATTTAGATTTCGTCATTAAATAACAATAGAGGTTGATATGCCAAAAACCAAATCAACCAACTATTTAACCCGTAGTTGAGGAGAAGAGAAACGCATCCATACCTTAACCAAATGAATATTACGAACGCGGCTCTACTGTGTCTCGTTCTGAATTGCAAACCATGATACAAGACGAACAAATCTCTCCTAAATTTACGTCGGTGGCTGTGCCAATATTAAACAGGAAATCAATAGCCTTGGTGCTAACATAGACACACACAAGACAACTTGGTGAGAGTAGGTTCTATAAGCGTCCTGCTAAGGGGTAATGTACTGTCTCCCGAATCATCTTGACAAGAAAAGAATCTTCGAAGAAAGTCACGCGCTAACGACACACCCCGGCGGCTGATGCTAATTTGACAGAATCCATAAGTGAATATATAAGTGAATAGACGATGAACATACCTTTAGTCTCGAATTCTTATTAGAGGTTATTAGAAAAACCTTATTCTTTCTCAGGTGAATCCTTCTCGAAAAAGCATCAATTACATCATCATCATTTATACAGTTAACGCTGTCGTCAGTACTGCCTTCCATCTCTCTCTGTCTGAAGCTGCCCTTATAGCCTCAGCCAGCGTCATTTCAATCCACTTTTTAATACCATCAAACGAAGATATTGGTGGTCGTTTCCGGCGCTGTATGACCTCTACAGGGCCCTGAAGAATGTCCTTATCAAAGCCGCATTGTATTCCCGGAATTGCCTTACAGGCATCTGCTCTCTCAATAAGTATCTTACTCTGATTGAAGCTAGAACATATTTGTTAGAGCACCTTGGCCTCCATAACACTCTAAGTACTGTGCAATATGCACACAACTCGAAAATATCAATCCAGACTCTTTCACTATTGGTCAGCGCTTACGGCCAAATCACGCTGAAACACCGGTTCTCGTTCGATCACCGAAGTTAAGCATCGTAGAGCCAGGTCAGTACTTAGATGGGGGACCGCTTGGGAACACCTGGTACTGTAAGCCCCCAAAGTCCAACGCTTACCTCACAGTCGGTGGGGGGTGTAAACGGTAGTGTCAGAGCTATGCCGCCCGGAACTTCGTTCATGGTAGGGCCACCCAAGGCGGACTGGTCTGACTCACACGCCGGCTAACAAGGGCACTGGTGAAAATCCAAGGAGCGTCTGCATCGGTAACCGGCGGCTTCTGGTCGTTCCTGTCTCTGCGTCTGTGGGAATCCTGCGCCAAGCAAGAACGTTATTCGAGTAGGCCTGGGTACCCTACTTCTGTAATTTATCCCAAGAATCTTCTTTTCATAACAGGAAGAAGCCGGCTCAATCCGCCCAGGGTAAATGCCGCATCAGTACAGTACTATTGGTCAGTGCCCTTTCTTAGCATCAATAGAAGGCCATGGCAAAAACAGTTGCTCGTAGTAATTTCACTTTAGGCTGATGTTTATTTTTTTAAGAAAATCACCCCAAGGAAGGCGGGACCGCCACTAACACGCAAGTGGTTATAGAGAGTGAAATTAAGAGTAAAGAGGAGTGTTTAGGAAAAGGATAAAGCGAAAGACATGGATCACGGTCAAGGCATCAGAAGATGTCGATTGACATTACATTTTATTATTTGAAGATTATAACTATCAGGGAAGCAAGTGATAGGAAAGGAATTCCATTGACGGGATGTGCGAGATAAAAAGCTGTTAGAGTAGAAGAGATGGCCACATTTAGCCGTTTCGACATTGAAAGTGTGCGGCCATTAAATTAATGCAGTTTGGGACCCAGTGAAAGTAGCTCGTCGAAGCAGTTGCTATGAAAGTACTTGTAGAAAAGACAGAGGGAAGCCACAGCAACTCTGTGAGAAAGTGACTGTAGACGGTATGCTAGACAAGAACCAATGACGTTGTATATCCGTCTGTGGAATTTGTCGAGAACCTCAAGATGAACCGCGTGTTGATTTGTAGATTTGAAGGATGGATTCAGCCGAGAAAAACCTTCAGGCGTGACACGGAGAACCAAATTTACTTCCGGTAGATGAAGCTATAGATTCAATGTAGTTGTGTCACTTCAGTTCAGTGGACAGCGTAAGAACCAGCAGGCGCAGAGAGGCGCTCTTGTGAGCATCAGGATTCTTGGTGGGTAAATGAAAGCAGTTTCGATTTAGAAGCATTATAGTTTACAGGCTATTTCCAGCCCCACTCAGCTTCAGATTGGAGGTCCATTCCGACCATAAAATGTATTTCCCAATTTTGCCATTGCTAGACTTTTCTTTTTCTATTGCGTAGAGTTACTTTGGATGTTTTCATTTAATCATTTAACAACGAGAAAGGCGATAATTCAACTATTTCACGAGTTTTACAGGCAATGAAAAAGATAAAAAAACAAGAGCATAGAGGAATAGAAGTGGCGGTTGAATTTAGCTATTTCAACAGTAAACGTCTGGAACCTAGATGCCAATCTAGTAGAACTCATGTTTTCGGGTCACCAGGGGAAAAAAATCTCGTCATGAGGGAAGCCACATCACATCAGGGAGAAAGTGATTGAAGTCAAGATGACAGGTCAGGATCGATTAAAGAAGAGATTCTTTATCGGATTTTGGTAGGAACGTCGAGAAGAATAGCAGGAATGCCAGACCAGATATAGCAGCAGTAGTCAATGCATGGGAGAATGATGTACAAGACTGATTCTGACAAGAAATAGTTTCTTGTTCGATATAATAGAACATATTTCCTGGCTGTAGATGCAGCTATTGATTCGATGTTGCAGCTTCATTTAATGTCAGTTGAAAACGTGAGGCCAAGAAGGCGCAACGTGTCGATCTCCAGGAGTCTAGCGTCAATGATTGTAAGCAGAAAAGTCTCTCTATGGTAGTTAAATGAGAACAGTTTTAAAATTTAGAAGCCATTAGCCACAGATTGGTGCCCATTTCAAGAGCAGCGGCCTGATTTCCTTTGCAACCTTTGACGGATTTGTTATTGAGAGGAGTGTAAATGGTAGTGTCTTCTGCATAAATAATTACTGATGATAACAGGAAGGTCGCTGGCGAAGATCGGAAACAGCGTAGGACCCAGTAATGACACTTGGATGACAGGTAGCAAGCCCTTACAAAACGCATATTTCACGATTTGATAAGAACGATTTGATTAAATCAAACAATCGTCCTTTTATAATGTAACCTTGGAGCTTGGGTAGATCAGCGTATCAAACAATGTCAACGGCCTTCGAGATATCTAGAGCCACATCTCGAGTCTTGCCGTTATTATGTAGACCTTAATATACATATTTAGTGATGGCCCTTAACACAGTATAGCTAAACTTGGCAGAAGGGAAGCCATATTGTTTTTCTGAGAAGAGGTCATGGGAAATAAAATGTTAAACCACTTCAGCATTGATCAGAGTCTCGAATATTTTTGCCAAAGATTTCTAGGTGACTAATAGAGAGATAATTTTATGGTCCGGGTGTTTTCCTGATTTCTGAACAACAGGAACGACAGAGGAGGATTCTATTATGCTGGTGCTGGTTAAATGAGAGCAGTTTTGTTTTGGAGACTTTAAAATTAAAAAAAAAAATCTTGCTGACCACTGATTCCAAAACCTAGAAAGCAGGAACCGGCGAAGCAATTGTTGTAGAGCCAGCTCGGTAGAACCATTCTTTAGGACGAGGTCTGGAATCCTGTCACGTTTGCTTGCCTTGTGGGAGCCTAGTTTGGAATTGATGTCTGAAACCAGTGACGAGGTTATGCGAATATCACTCAGTAGAGCCTCCGTTGTAGGGGGAAATCAATCGTGGTTACTCCAAATTAGTCGACTGTTGAGTTGGAAGAGAATTCTCGAGTAAAGTTTTCAACTTTATCTGATGTAGATGTCAGTATTTTAAAATGATTGAATAAAGGAGGAACAGTACATCTTTGCAGAGCCGCCAATAATCTCTAGAACCGAACTTCTGAGAGGCTATGCGCTGTTTCATTCTATAAGCCAAGAATACCTTCGCTTCTTTGAGGACACACTTGGACTCCTTGCGAGCAGAGACGTCTGTTTCAATCAGACATGTCGCTCTGATATAGCCGGAAGAAGTAATTTATGAGTGTTATTGCATGGAGGTGGGAAACACTGAAACGAACGTGATATTTCCATGTTGGAATGAAAGATTGGAAGCCTGCTTTCACTCTGGTTGAAATCTCGCTAGCGTATTTTTGAACAGGCCGGTTGAAAAAAACTTAATTCCAAGAGACTTCACGAAGAAAGTCTAAGGACGAATCTCAATCCATTCGTACATAACAGAAAGATTTTCTATTGGTTGGAGGTTCATGGATGATGAGAAGGCCGAACATGATGTATTGAAACTCTACCGTAAGGTCAGAAATTTGAAAAGGGTAAATCTGCATAGCACGACACGATTTAGTGGTAGAGGTAAAGAACAGATGAAGACGAGAAGCGTACCCATCTGGATTACTTGGGAAATGCGTGGAGATGTCCAAAATTTGCGTGAAAGATTTAGTGATGTAGAAATTCTGTGTTTGGATATCCTGCAAGGTCAGTGACAGTGATTAACCCATCTGGCATGGTGGACATTAAAGTCATCGAACACAAATATATTTGAAAATAGGTTTGAAGATGGCCATTACTATATTATTAGAATTAATATCTAGTACGCAACAGTAAGAAAATAATAATTGATCTGAGAAAGCTTTTTCTATAAAGCAGACAATTTAGATATAAATGGGCATGACATCCAATTGATAATCCCAATCGGAAGAGAAAACTGATTGTGGCACCTTGCATTATTAGAAATATTCATAGAAATATGATTTAATTTTTTTTTTTACTCGGTTTATTAACCAGTTGTTAGTTTTTTTAGACGAAGAATAATTGAGTTGAAAATAATTCACTAAGTTGTACTTAGACGATCCTAAAAAGAAAAGAAAAAAGAGGAAGAGAAAAGGAAGGAACAGGGAAGAAAAGAGAGGTCGAGAAATACAAATTATTAGCGAAAACAGGTATCAGAAAGGTATTTAGGCCAACATCTTGACCGATTTTCGAGACAATGGAAAAATGTTATTTAGAAGGGAAAGTCATTTAGAGGGAGAAAGGATAAGCGTATAGGCGATTGATAAAAATGTCGGTCGGAGCACATGACCGACTTTTGCGTAGAGAGACTCATTATCAATTTGGAGAAAGGGAATTTTTAGAACAATGAGAACGAAATTTTAATCAGAGGAAAGGTGTCTTTTTTAGGATGAGTGGGTGACCGCTGGAGTTGTATACAGGTTCTGACCTGTTAAGGATCAGACTCCCACGATGATGAAGCGAAGACATTTTCAATTCAGATAATTAAGATTTTTGGCTGTCAGGTCTGAACGAATACAAAGGGGTGAAAAAGACAATTGCTTTTGGCTCACACAGGACGCCAAAAAGGCGGAAACAATCCTCCCTGAAGTCATATCTAATTAGCGGCGGCTGTTTTGACAGAACCCAGGTGAGAAAAAGCCAAGATTATCATTTTTCGTACGTGCGAAAAAGGCCAAATTAGATTTTGTTTTTTTTTAGCAAGCTGGTCCTTCCCGGAGCGAGGACGGGATAGACCACGCCCGATTGGGGACGTCGCGAGGCATGGGAGACGCCCAACCAGAATCTCATTAGCCGAAAACGGTCACGTGATATGCGGGAAAGGAGAAAGAATGCTTGATCAAGA